AATATCACATTTTAGGTTGCTTTGTATTAGACCTTTATTTTATTGTTTACTTTTCCTGGAGTTTCAATAACCTTTTTTTTCTTGTCAAAATATGTAGTAAACGTATCCTTAAAATCATTTAGTTTGTTCATTGTACTGTCCATTGCATTGATTTTACTTTTAAAAAATATATATTTTATTGATTTTTTACAGAGAGGAAGGGAGAGAGATAGAGAGCTAGAAACATTGATGAAAGAGAAACATCAACTAGCTGCCTCTTGCACACCCCCTACTGGGGATGTGCCCACAACCAACGTACATGTGCCCACAACCAACGTACATGCTCTTGGCCGGAATCGAACCTGGGACCTTTTAGTCCGCAGACCGACACTCTATCCACTGAGCCAAACCGGTTTCGGCTGACTTTACTTTTTACTCGAGAATCTCCATCCTTCAGCTTCAATCCCTGCTGGCTTTTTCTGTACGACAGTTATTCTGGGACTTTGCTCCATTCCTGAGTTATCACCACTGTTTTCTGAATCTCATGTTTTCCCACTTTATGCTTTATATCCTCACTAGAGGCCAGAAGCATGAAACTTGTGCAGGAGCAGGCCTTCCTTCCCCCGGCCGCTGGCACTGGCTTCCCTCTGGCACCTGGAACCCGGGCACCCAGGATCTGGGCTCCCCTCTGGCCTCCAACAGGCACCTGGGACCTGGGCTTCCCTTGCAGCCTCGGCTTGGTCTAAAAAGACATCTGGTCTAATTGGCATATTATGCTTTTATTATTATAGATTTTGCTGGAGTACATGCATTAGCATCCTCCTCAGAAATGGTAGGTGGAGGTAACCTTTCTGAGCTCTTGTTTGCTTAACTTCACTTTCACTTAATTGATAATCAGGCTAAAATTCTAGTTTCAAATAATTTTCCTCAGAATTTAAAAATCAGTGTTCCATTGTTTCCCGCCAGTCAGTGTTGCTGATGAGAAGTCTTCCAGTCCAGTTTTTGTTCCTTTGTAAGTGTTCAGTTTTTGATCTTTGAAAATATTTAGGATTTCTCTTGATGCATTTAGGTATGGAGGTTTTGTTTTGTTCTGTTCTTTGTATTGTCTACTTTATGGAATATGTCAACCTGAAGACATGTCTTCTTTAGTTTGAAGACATTATTTCTATTATTTATTTGGTTATTTTATTTGTTTTCTCTGTTTGCTCTTTCAGGGTCTCCTATTAGTTGGATGTTGCAATTCCAAGATTTTGCCTCTATTACATTCTTGGTTCACATTTTCTACCCCTTTATCTTTCTATTTCAAGTTCTGGGATATTTGCTTATCATTTAGATCTTTATTGCATTTTTCATTTTAGTGATCATGTTTTTAATTTCCAAAAGGTCTTTCTTGTTCTTGGATTGTTTTTTGTTTTTCATGGCAACTTTCTTTAAAGATAGAATAATCTTCTTGGGTGTGTCTGGAACTACTAATTAGTATTTCCTTCAGAATTCTCCTCTGAGTCCTGGTTTTTATGTTCTTCCAGCCCAGGTCGTTCTATTTTTATCGTGCATGTGTTTGTGTGTTTGTTCCTGGTTTCCATCACCCAGCTGGCCATCTTTGGTCGCTGGCGTGGATTCCCTGCTGCAGTGTCTGTAGGTCTGTTTTCCCGGTGGGTCTCCCTCTTCCTGGGAAAGCTGACGGCAGCACATCTGTGAGAATGGCTGGTTCTGAGGAGGCTCCATTCGGGGTGCAGACATCCGCATCAGCAGCCTTGGTTTTCCTTGGGCAGTTTATTCAAACCCTCTCGAGAAACATTCCAAAGCTCACTGTTCCTTTCCTTTCACTCTTAATCATTATCTGCATTTTCTGTGTTCCAGACATTGGCGGAAACCTTTCATCTACTTAAGAGACCCCCCCTCCCAATCCTCTTTGCTCAGGGGCTTGTGTTCATTTCCCCTCTTTACTACCCTTTTAATAGGCTCTTGGGAGGGGAACCAGAGGAAAGAAAATGTGCCTAACATGCCATGTTAAACAAAAGTCCTTTAAGAATTATTTTCCCTTATTTCAAAATGATTACTGTAGAAAACTGAGAAAATATAGATAAGTAATAAAATAAAAAATGTTTATTCACCACCCAGGAATAACACTGTTAACATTTCAAAACACGTTCTACTTCCTTTTTATATGTATCTATTCATGTTTTTTTCTTACAATGGGATCAGACCATATGTTCTATTTTCTAATGTGCCTTTATAATGAAACAATAGCTTTTAAATATCTTTCCATGTCACAATATACTCCTGACAATATTGGAGACCTGGTATTTATTGAAAGATTATATATATCATCATTTTTTTTTTTTTAGCCAATCCGCTATTTTTAACATTAGGTTATTTCTAATTTTTACTATTGTAAAAGAGCATTTATAGGCATATTTTTTGGCTCAGTTTCTTTTTAAATGTATTTTATTGATTTTTTACAGAGAGGAAGGGAGGGAGATAGAGAGCCAGAAACGTCGATGAGAGAGAAACATCGACCAGCTGCCTCATGCACATCCCCTACCCAGGGATATGCCCGCAGCCAATGTACATGCCCTTGATCGGAATCGAACCCGGGACCTTTTAGTCTGCAGACCGATGCTCTACCATTGAGCCAAACCGGTTTTGGCTTGGCTCAGTTTTTAATCATAACCTTGACTGTGTACTTAGGATAAAATCCTAGTGGTGGAATTGCTGGGTCAAAGTATATGCGGCAGGTCCCAGTGTTGGTTCAGCATTCAGGGATCATGTTGAAACAGCCCCTTGTTAGCTCTCAGGCCTCAAGCTTTCCCTTCACTCTGCTTCTCTTGAGCTTCTGTAAGTATTCCTGCAGAGGCATGGCGAACATAACTTCTGGAGTCAGAGAGACCAGGGTTGAATCATGGCTTTTGCTAATTAGTAAATGTGTAACCTTAGGCTATTTTAATTAACCTCTTTGAGTACTAGTTTCCTGTTCTGTAAAATGGGGGAAATAATTCTACTCTTCTGATGTGGTTGTTGTGAGGATTAAACAAGATAAAAATGCATATAGAGCACTTAGCGTAGGCCCTGTGTTGAAAGTGTTCATAAACCCATAATGATGGGGTTAGACCATTCCTCCCCCTAAACCAATGTGACTCTCCCTTCAAGGACACACCAGAGATGCACCCACTCTCTGGGAGGTTTTCCTGACTGGGGCAGGCAGAGCTCTTGTGGGCTGGACTGCATTTGATGTTTGGTCATATGGCTTGTAGCTTTTCCCTGTGTGTGTGTGCATGTGTGTGTTCGGTCAGAGAGTGACGTCCCCTCCTCACCATCCTGCACTGTCTCCCCGGTTATCACTAATTACCTTTCAGGAGTGTTCTTGGGAATAGTGGTGATGCTGTGACTCAGTGTTGGTAGCATCCGGATTGTTTTTGGGAGTTCATTGAGAGCCCTTTGCAACTCAGGGTGTTCGTCATTATTTCTTCAAATAGGTTTTCTAATCCTTGATCCTCTTATTGTCCTTCGGGCACCCCTATTATATGGATGTTATTTCATTTCATGTTGTCCCAAAGCTCCCGTGGTCTTTCCTCCTGTTTTCTAATTTTTTTTTTCTCCAATTGCTGTTCAGACTGTGTGTGTTTTTCTGCCCTGTTTTCTAACTTGCTAATTCAGTCCTCCTCTTCTTCTAGTCTACTATTGAAACCTTCCATTGTGTTTTTTATTGTAGCTATTTCATTCTTGATTTCCTCTTGATTTTTACATAAGTTGTTGTTTTTCTCATCCAGTCAGTTTAGGAATTGTAGTACCCTTACTCTGAATTCTTTTTCTAACATATTGCATGCCTCCATTTCATTTAGTTCATTTTCTGGAGAGTCCTTTTCTTTCCTTTGGGCAGTGGCCAGCAAACTCATTAGTCAACAGAGCCAAATACCAACAATACAACGATTGAAATTTCTTTTGAGAGCCACATTTTTTAAAATTAAACTTCTTCTAATGGCACTTCTTCAGAATAGACTTGCCCAGGCCATGATGTTTTGTGGGGAAGAGCCACACTCAAGGGGCCAAAGAGCTGCATGTTTGCTGACCATGGCCTTTGTGGGTTGTTTCTTTGTCTCCCCATTTTTGCTTTCACTGAAGAATCCAGACACCAAGTCACACGGTACCTGTGGCTGAAGTTGCAGGCTTTGTGGGATGGGAGTGCACTCTGGGACTCACAGGATCCTGCAACTGGGAAAGCTGGAATCCTGGAGTCTATGGGTCTGCAGATGAGGTAGCAGGTCTTTGGCCAGAGTGGCTGTAGGGTCCAGTACAGTGTTTGAGGCCAGTCTGGGTGGTGGTGAGCCTGGGCTCCTAGTCACAGCAGCTCTCTCCTTCAAGATGGCGTAGTTTCTGTGCCAGAACCAGCCTCCCTGAGAGTGCTAGCAGGGGCTCCCCATGTAGTAGAGCCCAGTCTGTAGCCCCAAAGGTTTCTGCAGGATCTAACTGTCACACACACACACACCGCACATCCACACACTTCCCTTTTGCTCCCTTCCTCACTCACACTCTCTTTCTCACTGCTGTCCTGCCAGCTTAAATCTCAGCTCAGGAGGTTTGAGTGTGGTCTCTCGCTCTATTAGGTGGGACTTGCCCCCAGGACACCATGGTGGGCAGCAGATGCAAAGAACTCTGCTGAAGGGGCCGCAGGGGGAGATGTGCTGAGGTCAACCCTTCTCGGGGGGTTGACCCATGGAAGGCAGAGCTCAGTATAGGGCCTTGGGACCATTGTGCAGCCTTCCAGATGCCTCCCTGACCCTCATTACTTTGTGCTGGGCTTTAAGATGCCTTTTGTAGCTGGTAAAGCCTTCCTCAGCATTGTTCAGCCCACAAAGGTCCCTTTCATGCTACAGATGCCTCCCCAGTTGCCAGGGGAGATTGAGAAGTGAGGTTTGCAGATGGGAGGGCTGACCAAGGGCTAGCTTCCAGGAGCGACCGAGGAGGAAAAGGTGCTTGGTGCCGTGCCCTACTCACCCCTTTCTCATCTGGATGTCTTTCAGGAGTCATGGCCGGCTTCAACATGGGGGGTGATCTCAGGGAGCCCGCTGCCAGCATCCCCCTGGGCTCCCTCGCAGCTGTTGGCATCTCGTAAGTTCCCCTCAGCAGCAATCTGCTGGGGAAAGGAAGGGAAGACTCCTGGTGAAAGAGGGGATTGCCCCCTTCCTTTGAGAGCACCTCGACTCTGGCCAATCTATTTCCTATTCCAGTCCTCTTTTGGCACTCGGTGGGCTGGAAAATCCAAGTCTGGTGGGTTCAGACGATTGCCCTTTCATGTGCCCTGCCTGGGAACTTGGGGGAGAAGTGTCACTAACACAGATCCATCCCTTTCTTCCCTTTCTCCCAGCCTCGCCCCTCCTCCACCCCCATTTTGAACTTGGGGATTTTTTTTTTTTAACCATTGAGTTTCCAGGATCATTGGAAGGAGCATCAGGAGGAAGGGTTTTGCAATTAGATGAGGGTTTGCATTTCAGCTGTGTCGCGGATTGACTGCAGCATGACTGTGGGGCATTTATTTGTTTTTTCCTTTTCTGTAAAATGGGAACAATGAAGAGGAAGGGGCCCTCTGTGTTGTGGGAGAGATACTGTGTATAAAGACATATAGAAGGAACATAAAGACTGGCCCTTCGTCCCCCAGCCAGCCTCTCTGCACCACCCCAAGGCTGCCCTTGGTTTGAGGTCACACTGTGCCACCCATGCGAGCAGTTTGGGTGGCCTTGGGCCTGTTTCTGACCTTCTAGAATCTTTTGATATTTTTGTTGTTGTTGTACCATGAGAAGAAGCCTTCCTGGGGTGGGTGTGGAAGCCAGTGAGATCACAGACGCCACGGTGACCTGAAAAGCTGAAAGTGCCTGCGTTCTTATAACGGTGATATTTATAAATATTAACATATGTTTTCCACAAATGCTGAATTTGCTCTTAGTTCACTGTCTGGACACTGTTGCATTTAGCCAGGCACACAATGCCTGACTATTTCATGCTAAATAGGGCAATCAGTTGTATTGGGAAGAAAATGAAGACAGCAGAGAGCACGAGAGAGTGCGCTGGGAGTCGGGAAGGAAAGAAAGAAGCCTGTCTCCTTTTCGTCACAGCTGGGAGGCCCCGGGAGGAGGCTTTGGCCTGTCCCCTCGCTGCCCAGATGGGGGTGAGGCCACCGGGATCACATGATCTGCTCAGAGTCACAGGGCATCTGGGGGCAGAGCCAGGTCACTGCAGGCCTTTGTACGCTTGGCCTGGCTGTCCGTCATCTGGGAGCCAAGGAGCAGCAGGATTTAGAGGCCTGATTGACCATCCACTTGTCCTTCTTGTGGAATGAAGGGGAGGGGGTTACTTGGCAATGCTAGCCCGAGACCTGGCAACCTGGAGGCCAGCTGGGCCTCCCCCTCCTCCACCTCCAACACTCTGTGTGTTTTTCTTCTTTACTGTGACAGAGACAGAGCCATGATACTTCCTTTTTGCTAAGAAATATGCTAAGGAGAAAGACATGGAAGATGGCCCCCAGGGAAACTAGGAATGCGTATGACCAGCCTTTCTCTTTCCTTTGGGTCAGGTCCCCACGGGAACCTGCAGGCCCCAGGCCGAGTGGGGTGGGCTGCGAGGGGGCTGGCCGGGCTGGGGGTGGGGCGGTAGCTCTGCTCCACGCCTGGGTGTTTTGCAGGTGGTTTCTGTACATCATCTTCGTCTTCCTGCTCGGCGCCATCTGCACCCGAGAGGCCCTCCGCTATGACTTCCTGATAGCGGAAAAGGTGGGTGAGTCCTGCACTGGGGTGGGGTGATGGTGGTGGGGGTGGGGCTCTGAGTGCCAGGTCATCTCTTTGTTCCCATCTGCAAATGACAGCCTGCCCCTTACCCTTCTGCCCGGGAATCCACGTAGTCTTGGGCCCTGGACAGAAGGATGGGGGCAAAGCCACGGAAAAGGTCCAGGCTCTTCTTATGGGCTCCTAGGAACAGACAAATAACACCTGTAAAGTCTCGTGCACCCAGGTGACTAAATGGTGGCAGCAAAAATCAGGACAAGAGCAGAACCTGTTTACCTCAAACCCATAATCCACCAGCCATTCGTTTTGGCCCATAGTCTCACCTGCCACCCTGAGCAGATAGTGATGCCCTCAGGAAATGGGTAAGGAGGAGGAGACTGATGGACAGAAGGAGGGTGGCGAGGCTAAGGGAGATGGAGGGAGCCGAGAGCCAGGGCGAGAGCCTGAGGGAGGCAGAGCAGGTTCCTCTGAGAACCCTGACCCCTTGGGCTTTCCATACACACACACACACACACACACATGCGCACACACACACACACACGCACACACACACACACATACCATACACACACACCACACAGACACGCACACGGGTGGGTCGGGGAGATGTGGCTGTAACATCTGTTTCTGGAGCTGCACTTCCAACCCTGAGAAGATTATCTAATTCCTCACGTTCCACAGCCGCCCCTTCTCAGGCTGGAGGCCATGTGATGCTCAAGGACACCGGTTTGGCATCTCTGGAACCCAGGGGAATAAGATTGCCTGACACTCTTTTGGAAACCCCCCAACACTCCTACCTCCCCTTAAGTTCCCGGAGGAATGTGGTCCCTGTGATTCCCATTACTTGTTGAGGAAGGTAGTGGGCCGGGATCGCTCCTTCCTCAGTCAGCTCCTGGTGTCACTGCTCACGTTTTAGGAGAAATGGCCCTTTCCTCTTGGGAGGCCTGGCTGATCGTGGGCGGCAAGAGGGCCCTGCTGGGCCAACCCCAGCAGGAAACTCGAACAACTTTTAGAGCTACATGTGGGCTTGGTGTACGCACTAGCAAAGGCTTCTTTTTAAGGCCTGTAGCCGCCGATGGGCAGGGGATGTTTGCGTCCAGGGGTCATGACTTCACCTTGGAGGCAGGTTCTGAAGGGAGCAGCCATGCCCGTCATGAGAGCACTGGCACCCACCTCCCAGGGCCCCCCCCCCGGCAAGGAGGTTTGTTCTCAGGGAGGGAATCTATGGCCCTCGTTTATGCCTACGTGCCTGCTTTCATCTTGAGTTTCATCTCCCAGGGGGCTTGGCTCTAATTGTGGATGAAAAGCTTGGCTGCGTTAGAGGAATTAAGGGCCTCGGAGAGCGGCAGACCCTCTGACCGGGGGGAGCTGCCTGCTGCGGGCTGCGGCCTGCTTCTAAGTGCATCCCCTCCCAGAGGGCCTTTCACCATCAGAGACTCTGGTCTGGATGGAATGAGGCAAATTGTCCCCGGGGCCGGGGCTCCTCTCTTCCCTCCCTCTCCTGCTTTGCGGGGAAAGCCAAGAATGGGTGTGTGGGAGGGCAGGCAGCCTGTATCCAAGGGAGGCCAGACAGCAGGAGAGTAAAAACATCTCTGTGAGCAGCATGGGAGGGCCTCTGTGGGTGGAAATTCCACCGCTGACAGTAAAAATATTCACGGGCTGCAGGCGTGTTGGGAACGCCACCTGTCCCACACGGCGAGACAGGTAGGCAAGTGCTTGGCCGATGGGAGGCACGTGCTAAACCACGCCTGGCAGGAACCTGTGGGGATGCCACTGTGCACGTGCCAGAATGCGAGGTGGAGAGCCGTTTTTGGAGGGGATGAGAGACCGCTTCCTGGAATAGTTGCAAAGGCCAGAACGAAAGAAAAGATGCTGTGCTTGGTTCTCAGTAGTAGATGGGCTGGTGCAACAAGTAACCAGCCAAGAGAGCAGCGCGCTGGTGTGCCCACCACGGGGAGGGCCACACAGGCGTTTCCCTGTAAACCTTGAACCTCGGCTTTTCTCCTTTCCTCTTCTCTCCCTGGGACTGACTCCCCGGGAGAGCAGGCACTCTAATCAGGCGGTAAGTGGGCCACACACAATTTTACTGACTGTCCTCAGAGAATGGGAAGGTGCACCGTGTAGAGGTTGGAAGGTACGAGTGCCTGGTCTGACGTGGCCACTCGATTCAAATGACCACCAGCATGTGGTTTTAAAGAACTGTTCATCTCGGCCTCACACCTTAGCTGTGGCCTCAGCTGTGAGCCCATCTGTCCCTGAGCTTCCCTGAGTCCTGGGGAAGTAAGGCCTCTTCGGTCTGCTCTGTGTACCCAGCGGGTCTCACCTCCGGTGCAGACCGGGCCGGGCCTCCAGCAGGCACCCCTCACGCTGGTTCCTTTGCAGCTCCTCCATGCACTTCTTCTCTCCGGCCAGAACGGTACCTCCTGTGGCTATTGGCTGTGCTGGATTCCTCTCCACTGATCTGCAGCCACTCGGCTCATTGTTTCTCTCTGGGCTTTCTGCAGCTTCTCTGACGTATTTCTAATTATTTGGCTGCCCGGCCCAGGGTTTCTCTAAGAATTGTCTTTTTTGCCTTATGTCCCTACCCCCAGGAACTTTTCCTGGCTCTCAGGTGTTGGTCTCAGTGATGTTATGTTTCCTAAAAATTTTAAGTCCCTTGCAGTGGCCGAGCGGCTCTATGGTAATCCATGCAAAGCACAATACCCGGTGCGGGCAGATGCTAATGGACATTCTCCTCCCTCCACACCCCTCATGGGGACCCTAATAGATAGAACACATTGGGAAGGGGCACATTTTTTTGGTCCGAGTCACCCATCTTTCACTAAATGGGAAAAACTAAAAAGTCAATCCCAATATTATTCACTTATACAAAAGGGAATTGTATCAAGTCTGGTGTTAGTAGGGGTAGAGTTAAATAGATTAAGTGATTGTTTCAGAATAAAGTTATGTAGAGTCAAGGAAAAGACCCTGTTTTTTACACATCAAAAAAGACCAAGTCCTTCAGGGGCCCTGGGGTTTGCTAACTAGTAAAATAAGGGCAGACTAAATAACAAAAGTACCCCAACAACATATTTATTAAAAATGGGGTATCCCACAGAATAAATTCGAATCATTCTTGGCGGTGACAGGCGTGGTTTCGTGTGTTCACAGTTGTACCTGCTAGATGCTCAGCCTCTACCACCCAGCCCGCCCGCTGTCCTCCCTCCCCATCGCGGACACACGCTGCCTCTCAGGAAGGAAGCCGACTTGGTTTCCTAGGGAAATGGCTACCAAGTGGAAGAAAACGTGACTCAAAGTTGAGATACTGGTCAATTTGTTGAGTGAGGACAGTACTAGAGAACTCGGGTCTATGGAAATAGCATGTGAGAGAAAACCAGGGATCTATGGAGACATCTCCATGTTAATAGATTGGGGTCCAGGTGGCATGACTCAGTGGTTGAGCTTCGACCTCTGAACCAGGAAGTCAAGGTTTAATTCCTGTTCAGGGCACATGCCTTGATTGTGATCCCTGGTGTGGGGCAAGCAGGAGGCAGCTGATAATGATTCTCTCTCATCATTGATGTTTCTCTCTCTCTCTTCCTCCTTTTCTCTCAGAAATCAATACAAATATTTTTATTTATTTATTTAAAATATATTTTATTGATTTTTTACAGAGAGGAAGGGAGAAGGATAGAGAGTTAGAAACATCGATGAGAGAGAAACATTGATCAGCTGCCTCCTGCACACCTCGTACTGGAGATATGCCCTCAACCAAGGTACATGCCCTTGACCAGAATCGAACCTGGGACCTTTCAGTCTGCAGGCCGACACTCTAACCACTGAGCCAAACTGGTTAGGACAATAAAGATAATGTTTTAAAAAAGGTTGGGATTGTAAGGGTTTCAGCATATACTCTGTAATGTCAAGGGACCCAAGAATGAGATGAGGCAGAATGAGCCCCTTGCAAAAGACTTTCGATTCAGACCTTCAAGAGAAGGGGGCAGTCCGTGGACTGGTGAGGTCTCCTAATGACTACGGCTCAAGTGGGAGCTGGGGCCAAAGACCAAGAGCCGAGAGATGGAATTACTGATTTTCTCTAGGAGTTCCTGTAAAAGAAGTGAGGGTAGTTCACACCCCAGGCAATATTTTGGAAAGATAGAGAGGTTTTTGTGATGGCTCAGACAGGTGGATGACAGAAGGCACCTGCTCAAGTGTCTCACTCCCACCTTCACTGCACAGTTAGCGAGTTTGCAGTCCCGTGTGAATAGAGACAGTGATGCGCCCCTGCCAGGGCTGGGAGCAAAGCTGTGTGGGTCACTGTTGCTCTTGTAAGACTTGCCCTGTGCCCAGCACTGCACCGGGTATATAACGTGCCTCAGCAAATGTCCCCACAGGGACGGATGGATGACAGACACAAAGGAAGGGACCAGATTCAAGTGGGAAAGAGATGAAATGGAATTAAAAAAAAAAAAAATATATATATATATATATATATATATATATATATATATATATATATGATTATTCATAGAGAGGAAGGGAGAGGTACAGAGAGTTAGAAACATTGATGAGAGAGGGAAATATCGATCATCTGCCTCCTGCATGTTCCCTACTGGGCATGTGTCCGAAACCAAGGTACACACCCTTGACTGGAATCGAACCTGGGACCTGGAGTCCACAGGTCAACACTCTATCCACTGAGCTAAACCAGCTAGGGCGAAATGGAATGTTTATACTTTACCCAGACATCAGGACCAACATTTCATTTATTTTTCAGAAAACTGGCTGAATAGTAGTTTTATATAAAAGGCTTGCGAGTGAATGAACCATTGTAAGCACAATGGACAGACTGGACATAAGCAAGTCACTATACCTAGACAGTCCCTGCCTGGCTGCAGCCTGAGGATGCTGTGAGGGTCCCAGGGGGTGTCTATGGGAAGGCTGGCCACAGCTGGAGGTCACTGTGTCATGGCCTCTGGTGCTGGAGCCTCATCAAGTTCCTGAGGTCA